AATTTTTCTAAATTTGCACCACTTTCCATTTTGCACATTTTGATAAACAAAACTATAAAAAAGGCAAAATTAAAAAACTATTTTATGTTATTATTATTATTATTATTATCACCAGCATGACTACTACCGCTATTGCTAGTATTCTTATCACTATTGTTGCATAATGTTCAAGGCTTTTAAGCTTTTAAAAATCAAAGGAGTAATTCCCTTCAAATAGATCTAAGAGTAAAATACCGGGCAGTTAGTGTGAATTTCTTATATTAGTGATGTTACTGGGATGAAAAAAAACAGCACTGAGCAAGCAATTTTTAGCAAAGGCCGAATGGTGTCGCACGTGCTTTTGCTGCAAGAATGCAGTCCAAGAGGAATAAAATTTCGGTACCACTTGCAAAACCACTGCCTCCGCTAGTACCTGCTGAAAATGCTATTTGGGTGAAAGTTTATGGTGAGGCAAATCCGAATAAAACCAATGAAAAATTACTTGACGTTCAAGCACATACGGAAATTTTACACTTTGCCAGACATACAACCACACCGATGCAACCTGGTCGCACTGTTGGCCCCTTTCACGGGCTGTCGCTGAGTAGCTATGGAGCGCCAACTGAAGCGGAACAAATGGCCAAAGTAGATCAGCAAGCCGGCGCATATGCTGCAACTCTAGCAACGCCGCCAGAGATTGAAAACCTCTACGGCGCTGGCGGAGCAGTGGTAACCGAAGCTGGAAAACCGACGACCACAGCATCCAGAGAAACTGCGTCAACAACTGGAAAAAAAGAAACCGAAGCAGCATCTACAAGTACGTATACGACGACGTCGAGTGTAGAAACTTCTGAACTTACTACCAGCGAAGGCATTTTTGAATCAAGTACAGAAACCACAAAAGTAAGCGAAAGTGCTGGAGGAGAAACAGTGGTCGGAACTCAGGAAGCGGCAAAAGTGGTCACAACTGCAGGAGCAACCATAGCTGGTGTCAGTGAAGGGATTTCTATGACAAGTTATGAGCCGAGCAGCGCTATCTCTGGAAGAACTGAAACGGCAACAACAGCAGGAAGCGAAGGGACTACACTAACCGAAGGCCAAACTACTGAAACTTATGTGGCATCTGAAATAGCAACTGAATACGAGAGTAAAGGAATTGGAGGCCTAGAAGAAACTGGAGCAACATCAACGGCAATCGGACAAACGGAAGAAGTTCGTATTTCGACAACAGCTAGAGGATACAGTACCACGACTGAGAGTGAAAGAGGAGAAACACTAGAATCCAAAATAACAGGTACCCGAGTCACAAAGTCGACGACTTCTGGTGAAAGCACAAGCATCCCTGAAGAACTAACAAATCTAATAACAGGCCCGGAAGATTTTGGATATGGTGGAGGACCCGAGATTACGAAGGAGCAGCCTAGCACCGCACGGATTAGTGGCGCTGCTGGCTTACCAACATTGTCTGAAGCTTCGAAACCCACCTCTAAAACCATTGAACAGCCTGGCATGATAGAAGAACTGGCAACAACGCTTGGAACCACAGAAACTGGTTACGAAGCGGGGCTTACAACTGGAACAGGTTCAACACACGGAGGTATACCCGTGACGAAACAGGAAACAACGATAAAGTCCGCGGTATCTGGAAGCACATTGAAGGAAACCGCTACTACTGCAGAAGAAACTACGAGCCCCATATTTTCTACATTTTCCGAAGCGAAACTGGCGACCATCGCCGGCCGGTCAACTACATTGGCAGCAACCCCAGAGCTTCCGGTCAGCAGTGCATCACCAATTGTCGAAGAAACTACAAGTCATGCAGCGACAAAAATGGTTCCAGCTTCTCTCCAACCATCAGAAGGTTTTCCAGGCTATGGTGAAAGCTACGCTCAGACAGAATCCACAGCTTCTTCGCAAGCAAGCACAACTGGAACTGGACTTCCGGGACTGAGCAAAGTTTCAGCAAAAATGCTAGCGAAATCAATTGAGGAGGCAACAACTGTGATTTCAGAAGCAACTAGTGAAGGGACTTCGGCTGTTTCAGGAATAACAACTGAGCAAACATCAAGTGGTGCACCATCATCGTCGAAAGCAGAGTACTCTGTTCCAAGTAAAGAAGCACCTGAACTTGCCGGATACGGCATGGAAGCAGCAGAATCGACAACAGCCATATCTGGTGCAACGGTCGCAACTTCTGTTGGTACATTAGCCAGAATTGCAGTAGAAACTACGAGCGAGACAACAAAAGCAGAATCGACGACACAATTTGCGCAGTCCCCAACAACTTCTGGAACAACTGAATCATTAAAATCCTCTGAATCTACAGGAATGAGCGAGGAAGCAACAAAGCCGTCGATTGCTGCAGGTATCACTGGACTAACAGAATCAAGTCAGGGAACAACTGGTGAATTTGCCGAATCTTATGAAATAGGCTTAACAGAATCCAGCAAAGCGACAACGGAAGAAGGTTTTAGTTTGAGCAAAGAAACAACGGAGCTGCAAAAATCAAGCGAAGAAGTAACATCAACTGAAATTTTGGCAACGAGCGAAGAAGCCACGACAAGTGGAGTTTCGGGGACTACTGAAGCTGCAACAGAGTCCAGCGAAGAGCGCCTAATTTCAGGCGAAGTTTCGGTGACAGAATCACAGGAAACTGCTGAATATATTCAAGAAAAAACAACGAAGCCAGGCGAGGTGTCAGCAGAAGCTACCGAAGCGATGACTGTTGGTTCAACTGAAAGTTTAACGATTTATGGGCAAGCAGCAACAACGGTAAAAGAATCAACTGAATCTGGCTCAACCATTGGAGGAACAGGGATGCCCAGTGAAAAAGCTACTTCCGGAAAGGCAACAACTTCAAGCGAGTTAACGGTTCAGCCAGCCGGATATGGTGTTCAGGAGACGCAGGAGTCAACTACTCGGATTACTGAAGCCAGCGAAGCGTTTACTG